ATAGTAATTGCATTTATGCAAATATTACTGCGATGTCGAACAAATGATCCTTATGCCTTATAGAATTATTCGTTCAATCCTTATCTCCTACATAACAACAGAAGTTAATATAAAAGTGATTGAGCTGCAACTTGAAAAAATTGTAGACTATAAATTTCCACCGCTAACGTCCGTCTGTACGTCTTTCCTTAATCTCGAGAATGGAGTTAGATGAAATTCCAGACCAGATACGGATACGGCTTGGGGGCGGGAGGCCCCATTAACTGTATAAGAATTTCCGGACTAGACCGGAAGTCACGTGAATTGAATTCAAAAATTTTTCCCAGAATGAAGTTACGTAGACGGCGACACGACTCTATTATTAATGGAAAAGCATGATGTGCGGGGGCAAGCCATTGCTAATTTGAGTCGAAGAGAATATATTTTAAATTAAAAATTTTCAAATTTCACAATGAATAATATATTTAAAGTGCAAAATAATGACGAAATTTACGTATAAAAATAGAAAATTATCTAAACGACGATAATCATTCAATTTAAAGTGATGCAATAGACGGTCTCCAATCGGTGATATCATTTTCATTTAAGACCATGCCAGCCAATGATGTCATTCGTTAGAAATTACGATTTAAATGAAAAATATGCATATAAAACCATTTTTGTTTTCCTTTTATTTAAATCTTATTGCCCTTTTTTAATAAACAATGCAAAATAGAAATGAATTACGGCACTTGTGTTTTCACGAAATCTCTAAACAATAATAACGATATTAGACCTATATTTCTGTAATTATAAGAAAATTAAACCTTTTTTCCCCTTAAAGATTCACTTACCAGATACTCGCCGATACTAGAAAACTCTCGACTCTGTTTCAAACTGCTCTTTGTGTCATTAAAGAACCTCTTGTTGGTGAAATATCAATTAAGAAACTAAACGTATTTAAACCGTTAATGAATACAAACAAGTACCGAAAATAATTTTCGTAAAAATACGGGACGACGGAAGAACCCCGTATAAAGACTGGTGAATCCATTAGACTACGGTATCTGATTTTGTGGTAATTAAAGCACTCGACGTTTGATTGACGTGGCTTTATTAAAAAGGATCCGTTAATCCTCAATTCGTTCGAACCGTGAAACGTTCGAAGTACGAGGTACTGTACCACTGTACTTAATTAAATTATGCAACGGTTTGATAATTAAATGCATAAATGTGAATTTATTAATACTTAAATGTGTTCTATATATCTTTACATAAAACACTTAGCTTAAAATCGTCACACAGTTTCTGTTACGAACAGATAACGACAGCAATCCTCACCTATGCGAGACAGACACCGCACACTTTCTGTTCGTAAAGGCTCAAAAATGAGCCGCAGATGAGAGCAAAGTACAATCGATATAAATGTTTACAATTGATAAATAATAAAGGAAAACAGTTATATTTATATAAACGTTATATATTACAGCTAATTATTTATCGTACGATGCATTCCAAACTAGTCCTATAATATTCTTTTAGGCGATTTACACGTTAATATTGAGAAGTTCGGACCTTAAAAGTAACCTTTCTACGCCAAATTATAAGATTAAATCGGACACAAAGTTACGAAGAGATGAAATTTAGATTGGAATGTAGCCCATGGCAGATATTTAAAATAGCAAATATTGGAATATTTCGTATTGACCTTTAGATAAGATTTCAGATTTATTTTACAGATTTTACTTTGAACCGATTCTTTAAACAGGGACGACATTATAAACAAACAACCAGATACTACTAACGGTTGTATTAATTTAACAGTTGTTTAACAAATAAATTTCTACACTAGAAATTCGATCGGCTTCTTACTTTCATTTAATATAAGATTCTTTTGTTGTAACTCTAGAAGGAAAAAGTCTCTTGTTTATTTAAATTTCACTCTTTACTTTCGAGTAAATAAGAGGATGCAGTTTACGCTTCAACAATTGGAAGAACGTTTAAAGTACTGCGACCAACAATTACGGTACATACACACTTTTTTAATAAATTCGGTACGTATATGATTTTTTTTTATTTCAAGTGCGTGATTTAATCTGGCGACTTAATAAAAAGGCTTTGTTCGTTAAACCGTGTCTCGTTATGAGGGTGTGGGAGCTTCTCTAATAGGTCCGATCGACCTAATCCCTCGGTAATCAAAACTAGAAATTACTATTACAGCGAGAAATAATTTGTATTAAAACGTAAAATTCCCGGTCATTTTTCTTTTAAATCTATAAATATCTTATCGTTCGTTGCTGCATTTGTTTCAAAAACTTACACTTCGTTAAAATGCAGTCAAATCTGTCTTAATCAAACACTATAAATTGTGGAAGCGTTGTGCCCTTTATAGAGAGAAAGAAGAAAATTACGTAGATGCTGGCCGATTCCAATTTAGATGTGTCCAGGATATAAAATTTTCTTACGCTAAACGTAGTAATTCCAGAAAAATTATGGAACCCCTTTACGGGGACGTCCTAGATAGAGAGAAGAGGGAAACGTATAAACGTCTGCCTGTTTCAATTAAAAGTCTAACTTAGAAGCAGTGGCGGCCTTAGGGGGTGGCGAGCAGGGCAATCGCCCGGGGCCTCGCTCTTGGAGAAGCCTCGCGCAACAACCAAGTAGAAAAAAGTTGATATTTAAAACTTTTTATTTTATCCTTGGCTATTAGTTATAACAATAAAATAAATATAATTTATAGTACAGTATATATTAATATTAATAAGTGCCTACTATTTCAATTCACATACTTTGCACAAAGGACAAGGGCCTCGCAAAGATCTGCCGCCCAGAGCCTCGCAATGGATAAGGCCGCCGCTGCTTAGAAGAGTGTCCAGAATATAAGCGTGCCCAACTCCAGGGTTTAGTGTATCTTACTCCAGACACATATTTATAATTTTATTAAAATCAATAAATGTAGGCTAATATTAAGAGGGTTGACAAACGGATCCAATAGACTAACCTCTTTATTTTAGATTGATAATTAACGGAACCAATTAATTGCCTATTCGATGTACTGTACTGTACCTTTTCATTTATTATTACATCTTATGTAAAATGTAAATAATACTTCTTAAATTCGTGATAAAATTCAAAGTAATCAAAGCCAATTCTGTATAAGGTTTATATGCTACACACTTATTTGCCCTAGTTTTCATATGTAGTTTGTATATTTGTGTAAGTTACGCAGCTTAGTTGCTTAAAGTGGCATGTTTTATACAACCGAATTGGTAGAGAGCACTTAGATTTCTTAGATTTTTCTGGAAAAACCTTTATTCTCGAGATACTTCAAGAAACCAAGATTCATTGTAAAGAAAGAATAATCGCTCTTCTTTGTTCCGATGTATCTCCTTTAAACATCTAAATGCAAAAGAACTAAAGAAGCGGAAAGTCAAAGTCGAAGAAGGAAACAAAAATACTAATTGGCAAGACTTGCAATCGTTAAAATTTTGTTATAAACGAAAAAAAGACCGACAAAACAGTAAAACTTAAAAGACTTTTATTACGGATTAATTAATGAAGTTGCGAATTGATAAACATTTGCGAGCGATGTCAGATTTGTTATCTCCGATGTTAGAACTTTAAATATTTTCACGAATTCGTCCTCAAAATTCTGATTTAGCATTAATTCTAGTAGAGATTTTGGTTATTCGAGGCCCTACCGTAAAGTCCCCAGGCCCCTTTATATAAGTAGGCTATATGTAACAGAAAGCTCTGGCCTTACGACGATTTTCGTAAATGAGGAATAAACTATACTTAAAAAAACGATCGAATGTTTAAATTTCCTTTCTACCTAACGCTTCGATCGTGTCCATCGAGCTTTAATCGTCCAGCAAAACACGGGATAAGTCAATAAAGGATAAAGAGACGGTTTGAGTGAAGTAGATGATAAATTCAATTAAATAGATTGGAAGACAAAAACTGCCATTTCCACTCTCTCGCTCTCTCCACCTAATCTTTCCTTTCCTCGACTCTCTTCATTTAGCACCGCATCTCTCCTTTAATAATACTTAAATTATCGGGTTGTTCGCGTATGGTAGTATTTAAGGTTTTTTACTGCGCCAAAGATTCATCCTGTACGGTATTTTGCATAAACAGTGAAGATTGCTCACATTATTGTTACGTCATAATCTTATAATAATTATACAGTACTGCGTAATCTTTATAACCGAACCTTCTGCCATTTTCCTAACTGAAATAATGGATTTGTCAACTGTACGCGTGTAAAGTAAAATAAATCGGGTGTTGCGAGCATTGTTGTTCATTCTTTCTACCACCCTCTTTGACTTAACAACAAATCTAATCTCTTATTTGCTGCGGTAAAGTATTTTACAACGATAAAAACTGGCCTGGAAGCGTAAGCGTCATATTCTTACCATCATAATCCCTTAATCCGAACTACCACTGGTCTCAATTAGTTCGGATTAACGCGACCGTACCGTATGACTCATTTTCGGTGTACTAGAGATGCGCACTACCACAATCCCGTTCGTTAATTAAACGTCCCAACGGGCTTTTAACGGAAATAATTGAAATTATAAAAATAATAATACCAATTAAGAGCGCGTTATAACGAGGTGGAGTTGGAAAATTTTCCATCTTCCTTCATTGTTTGAAATTTAGTAAATTCGGGAACAATCCTGGTATATAATTGATCAATTTTACTTTGTACTACAAATTATACTTTCTAAATACCGTAAAATTAGTAATATAAAGTGAGTAACACCAAAGGTAACGTGACTTTAAAAGTAGATAAAAATGACAATCATAAAACGTGTACAATGGTTTTAACACCACAAACAGGAAAGAAATTTGTAAAATGAACAGAAATCGAAGCAAAACATTTGCATGAAATGGTGTGGCAGCTGCAATTGTTTGATTACGGAGCGAGGAAACGAAATCCACGGGCAGCAGGAATTAACGCTTGCCGTATTTCGTAATCGATATTAAAAGTTAATTATAATAATTAAGAAACTGTTTACCTTATTTTTGTCGCAGAGGGTGCCTTCGGCCGCCGGTTCCAGTCGAGTGACGCACTTGTTATCCTGACGACACCACAGGGTCTGACAGACGTCCTACCGAGTAAATTGGTGGTGGAATTTAACGGATTGGCAAGTTATTAACGAGGCCACTTAAGAGCAATTACCGAAAGGCAGTTAATTATAATTAGTAGGAGAGTACCTCGATGCCTTCGCAGTATTCGGCTTCCGGACCGTACTGCAATCGGCACTGATGGTCGCTGTTGTACATGGCACCCGGGGGTAATTCGGGAAAGGTGAACTCGTGATCGGACGGTTCGTCGTCCAGGCAGCTGCCCCAGTCGCGGCTGCAATTACGTCATAGTAATACGACGTTAATTCGGACTCAATAAAATAATTATACTTACTCTAGGAATTTGGTGATCTCGCTTCGACTGCAGTTCGACCAGACAAACGGACTGGCGTCAGAATTGAGATGAGGCGACATGACGTGTTGACGTTCTCCCAAAGGCGCCTGGCACCCGTTGTGAGGTCCGTCGTGGCTCATTCCGAAACTGAAATTGGGCAAATATCTTTTTTATTCGGCAGTTTTCCAGGTTTTAACGGCAAAAACATCCAACCTCCGGTCTCCGTCGACTTTCGATACCGTTATAACACATTATTTTCGGTTGGTTCCACGCGAGGATCTGCGAAGAATTTTTCGAGAGACGGATCGAAAAGACTTACTTGTGTCCCAATTCGTGGGCTATCGTATAAGCCAAAGCCAGACCCGTGTCTTCGTTCACGTTGCAACTTCGGTGAGGTTGACACATTCCCGCTACCTCGGCCAGTCCTAGGGTGCTGCAAGGTTCGTTCACTCTGGTACAAATGTTATATCTGTTCGCAGTCGAAGAAACGTCCAGCGTTAAAAAAAAGATTTTTACTTACAAAGAAACGAAAAATTATGAAATATGTAGCCATAAATATGTAAGAAATACATTTACAATAAACTGTATATTCGTTTGTTATTCGCGATTATTATCCAACGAGTAATTCGATGACGTTAGATCCGACCATCCAGCGATTCAAATTCGGATCTTTCGTGGCTACACCGTGGCACATTATCGAGATCCTAACTATGGACAAGTGAATGGGATGCACGGTTGGACCCACTGTGCCTTCGATCTACTCGTCCACGGCGGGTGCAATCAGCCAAGTACCATATAATGGTACTTCGAAAAAGGTAGCCTACTTAGCGATATATATATAGATAGCAGTATGTGATATTATTCGTTAAAAGCTTCCACAATTTATCAATGAGTTCTATCTATCGTTGCATATAACTTTTACTTAATGTTTTCTGATGGCGGAAACGCTATCTCCGTAAAACGAAATACTTTTATCTATCGAATTTATTCACCAAGATATTCTTATAAGTGTAAACCGATAACTCCTAATAAAGGATTAATTATAAAATTAAGATCTAAATGGGAAAGTATATTATAAAAAATAGAAGCAGCGCAGAAATGTCTTTCGAACCAAATTAATTTTCAGCACAAATCAGAAATAGACTGGTGATTCCAAAGTGGGCGCTACTGCCCCCTCCGGAGAAGTAGAGGAGAGCCGAAAGGCGAGGGGTGATAGGGATGTCGAGAAACAAGATGGCAAAATTCATCTTAAAACAAATATGTGTATACAGTATATAACTTATATGGGAAACACTGCACTCGGGAGCGGATCGAGGTTTTTCGGGGCCTAGGACCTATTGAAGTCCAATGGGACCCCCATTTTTACCATTTTTACCAAACCTAAACCTAACATATTAACTATTTTTTACTATACGATAAGTGCTCATTGCTAATGAAAAGGTATTAAAAATTTATGATAACAACTGAATTTTTGTCGGTCCTTGACATTTGGGGGCCCAGCCCTATTAGTCCCTATGTAGATCCGCCTCTGACTGCACTAAACAGTTGAAGTCGACAAAGTTTTCGCCATTTTTCAAACGAGACGATTGATAAAGTCAATGAAGAGAAGGCAACAAATATCAGGAATAAACTTCACACCGGATTACTCTCGATTTGGAAATTACTATTAATCATTCGTATTACTTTCCCGGCTGTTATAAATAGGAGGAAAAGTGTGGCAATCCGGCAAAAAATGACAATCCCAGATTTTTACATTTTTGGACTCGGGACACTTTGAAACGTCGAGAAATGCAAAAAAATTCGAGGTTTTTTCCCTGTATGTATGGATGTTAGCTTGTGGGGGGCACGATTTTGTCCACCCAGTTTGAAGCTTAATAACTCCCTCGAAAATTTCGGAAATTTTGCAGGGAGGTTTGTTTATTAGAGGGATTAGTGCTATTAAATTTTGGTGATTAAAGGTCAACATAGTGAAAAGATAAAACAGGTCGCGTGTATCTCCAGAAGGATCGAACTTAATGACGATTTTACTCGATATTAGCATTTACAACTTTTAAAACCCATCCCTACCCTCAAAATTAAGCTTTTTTATAATTATTAAAAATATAAAAATTTTTAAATAATAACAAATCGTAACAGATGGCGTCACACACGCAGTTTTGAATGTCGCCGGAAAAGTTAAGCAACTCCTTGCTGGGTCTTCTTTGTCTTTCTTCTCCACTGAACTGGATTTTCTATAGACACGCGCATTGCCTAACGTGTACCATAACATTACGTACTTTTCCTTTAAAAAAATAAAGAATAATAATAATTCTAATAAAATTTAAGTCTATACCGAAACTGAATTCGAATTGACTGGCGAACAACGAACGGCGATCAAAAATTCTACGAAATTGGCTATTTTTTTAAATTTGGCCCCGGCGGATTAGCTTTCTAGGAAAAATCGCCTTGGTCCGTTGCACTCCTTCCGGGAAAGTGCATTTATTACTTCCGGATCGAGTTCCACAGTTAATCGCCACTTCGACCTCTCTCCATCCTCCTCCCGTTCCTACTTATCGTCCGGGAGTTAACCACATTCTGTAGGAGATTGTAAGGAATTTCCGCTGAGTCGAGGCGTATATTACCCGGAATGTCAAAGTGACAACAGAAGTTACGTCACGCCGACTGTCGTCATTTTCGACCTACCGAATTTTGGATAGACCATAGAAAAATACTACTAAGATCTATCCAAATTATCCCGTTTTAATTCCTCCGTAAGGTATAATTACAATTTGAAAAATTAATTCGGTACCAAATCGGATTAAAATACGAAATCTTCGTATTCCTCGCGTTTAGAACGCACGTAGAAGACTCTAGAAGACTTGGGAAATATATTAGAAAACACTACATACGCTACCATTGCATTACAAAGAATTAGCGGACGGAGTCCAAAGACACTCGAAGATACGGCAAAGACATTAGAATGAAGTAAGGATGCGCCACAAAGTTATTAATAGACACTAGAAGGCATCACCAATGCGTATATCGATTAATTAATGGATATACTCGTTTAATATACGGATAAATTATATATTGATCTTTACACCGTTGGGAATTTAAATTTCGCCCCAATCTTATACATCTTGGCCATTTTGGTCCCTTTACGGAAATAGCCTATAACAATAGATGCGAGTACGCCACAGTCACCACAAGCGTAATAAATGGTGGAAAATTCGATCGTTGGTGAATTCCATTCGTTAATAACAGAATGTATATAAGTTACATTATTATAACAGCTGACGAAGTGAAGAGAACGGCTCCTATCCCGTCTTTCTAAAATGATTAGGTTAACGAATTCCTTAACACATGGACACGTAAATCATAGAATCTGCCTAACGTAAAATAAACGATTTAGAACACGCGACTTTGACATTGTCGATACCCTTAGACCAATTCGGGTAGAGAAAGTCTCCCGTGTTATCTGACACCTCATCGTTTCCAGCGCCTTATTTTTTTTAATCTGGATTTTCTGGGAATTTGACGGATTCTACCAGTCTCTTGGTAAAGAAACTCTATAGTTTCTTTTTATCCTGTAACACATCTTAGTTTCATCGTAATTTTCTGGTGAAATTTCAGTAGTTTCTCTAGAAATTCTAAGGGGAAACTGCTACCTTTCTACATTAAATATTTTAAAGTCACAGAAAAATAAACTATGTTTTGTTACTCTCGAATTGAAAATGTAAACCGACTTAATCGGAAGTAGAACATATCTTTGTCGAATATTCTACATTTTGTAGTTTAAAATCGTTGAGTATTTTAAACTACACCGCCCTTCATTTCATTTACTTATCATACAATTAAATATAGTCTACGAGTCTCGATCTTACACACACCGGGGCAAGACGACGAAATGTTTGCGTCTTAAGCCGGTTTTACTTATCAGACGCAATTTTTTGAGTAATAATATAAAACAATTAGGCTATATTATTTTACTACCAGAGTACGCAGGTAAATACCCTCTCTAGGGATATTGCCATCGAATTAGGTTTCTATTCGCCTTTCCTACATCAGACAAGACGAAAAAATCACAAATTGCGCGGCCAAATGAAGACAAAAGAGATTTCCGATTCGTTATTTTCGTTTTTCTTACGTAACTTAATAGCGCGGTCGGTGGACGTCTGGCCGCGCTCTTCTCTAATTATTTTCCTCCCCGACGTCACCGGGCTCTTCTTTTTGTTTTTTAAATTAAACTGGTTTTAACGAATTTAATTAAGAACCGAGAAAAGTATTTTACATAAAAAACAAAAGAGTAGACCGGCGCCATTGTGTCGGAGGAAAAAAGGGAAAGAGGAGGAAAAAAAAGGATTTCCAAGAAATAAAATATCGCTTACCGCATCCGTACCTCGTGAGTAATACGGCCACGTCGTGGTGATGAGGGTGGTTTTCGTCTCGGGGGTTGACATACTTCTGCCACTTGCAGAAACTCTTCAGCGTGTCGTCGGCGTGATGGCTGATGTACAGATCTTCCTTCTGCATCCGACAATAGAGTAAGAACCACTAAGAAACGTATGGGAAGCGGAAAAGAAGCGGAGAATTACCTCCTGTTCTTCGCTCTCCAGCAGGATAAGACGGACCAGGATGACGTTGATGGCATTCCCGATACTAGCGTCGTGATACAGAGAAGACACCTGCGGACGGAACTTCAAATATAGAGACATCCGCGCGGGCGTAACGCCACTTAAAAATAAAGTGGGAATTACTCCGGCGACGGAACCGAAAACCTAAATACGCCACCGCGGTCCAGCGTAAGGTCCACCCCTCTTCCGGTAGAAAATGAACTTAAGTTTAATAATTGCCAATAGATAGGAGTAAATTTTCGTCGGGGTTATCGATTTACCGTTATCTGCGCGTTAAATTAAAGCGCGGACCATCCGGTTAAGACAAAGCGGCGAGACGGAAGAAGGCGCAAAAAACGCCCCAAGTAATTAAGAGGTTAATTAATCCGGACTAAGAATTAAGGAGAAGAGCTTCGTCCGGGTCCGACCCGTCCGGCGGACGTTCCCGGTCGGATTCCGCGAACGACAGCCACAGACAAGAAGAAAAGCGCAAAGACGGGCGGGGAAGGAAGAAGAGGGGAGAGAAAAAGGAGCCGCGCAAACACAAACGCGCGAGTTAAAGCCCCGACTGGTCTGCCCGGTGTAAACGTTACGGTAACAAAGAAAGAGAGGGGGCGCATTTCCCACGCGCCGAGACGCAAACGTGTCCTATATTTATCTACTAAATAAAATCGGTATTAAAATGTCTTCTCCCGGGGACGGAGATTAATCGGGCGCGAGGAGACGGCCGTGGGATCCCGTTTCCGGTGGCGGCTTCGACCCCGCTACCGTGGGTCGACCTCTTCTTCCTTCCGGTATCGGGTGTCTGTTTACCGTCCGAGCTCGAGGCCGAGGACGCCGTCGCTCCTCTTCTCTCACGCGACCGTAAACGCCTCCCCCACTACGTCGCCGTCCCGGAAACGGGGACGGGCGGCTTCCGGTGGAAAAGAAGGAAGATTCCTCCTTCCGATTCCTTCTACCGAAAGTCCGGGTCAAAGGGCGGAAATGGCCGCAATTGCGTTTACCGTAGGTGCCGAGCCACCGGCGCCGCAGTCCCTCCTCCGGGGAACGGCAGAAGTATGCGCGGCGTGAATAAAATACGTATTGGCCGGGCGAGAATCGTGACCGGGCGCACGACTCCTTCGGCGCCAACCTTTGCCTATGCCCGACCTCGAAAAAGAGAGAACAGGAGAAAGAAACTTCCGTATGTTCCGCTTCCCCCGCGGTTTTACCTGACGCGTCGGAGCACAAACACTAAAAATTGACGAATATAATGGTTGTAAAGTTAACTACTTTTATAACATCCTTACAATTGAAAATAATGTAAATGTACCAATATATATACTTTTTGTTTTCCATCTTCTTATCATTTACGGATCCCATTACCGAGTCTTGTAACTACACCTAAGTATTTAACTTTGTATCTTTAAGCTTAGTTCCTACCCTTTCCGCGGCGCCCGGGACCAAGTGACGAAAATAAAAGTCTGCCAAAAGTTTTCCCGATTATCCGGAGACGCATTCCGGAAGTATGGGCGCGCGGACGTTTACGTACGGCGATAGTAACGTGGCAAATTTGAATTTTCCGGCGTTAAAACGGGTCGGGCTCTGGCTACGTGCGCCAAAAGGCATCCGGACCTAAGAAAAGACCGGAAGCTCCCTCCTAATGGCGCGCGATTAAATGCAAAGTATTGGTCGAATGTTATAATTAAAGAGAAGCGGGCCAAACGATAAGTATTGTTTTCCAACGCTTCCCCCTGGTATTTAGAAACAAATTACGGTGGTTTTGCCGGGCGTCACCCGGTAAAATGCCAAAGTGTCGGCCAAAGGAGATAAAATTGCTGCCGTCGACTCTTTCTTACATTCGACGTCTGACCGGATGTGGCTTATATTTTACTTATCGAATCGACGAAAAAAAATAGAGGAAAGAATTAATGCCACCACGTGACGGGCGCGCGATGGGACGTCCGACGATTAACTTTAATGTATCGTCGTAAACATTCGATGGTGTTTATATTTTCCGTGATATTTTTCTTGCTCTAAACGATTTCTTATTAAACAAAAAGAAAACTCGGACGAGTTTCTACGCAAAAGAACAGTTTAAAAGACTCTTAACCCCGCATCGTTCCGCTGCACGAATTCTCTATATTATCAATTTAAAATCGAGTGCCCGATTTATAACTGCTGTTTTATTCGCATTGCGGTGAATCGCCATTTATCTTAGGCCCTAGGCTATAAGATCCTATAGAACCCTAAGCTATGTTAAGACTCTGTACAAAACGTAAGATGCTATAGAGTATATAAGAATGGGTGGTATTCTTTAGGGTTTCTACGCTTCCGCCTAGAATTATAAACATAAAGTTAACGAAGTTTTCCGGATGTGGCTTAATCCACCCGAAAGTACGATTCGAGTGTTGGAGTTACTCATACTTTTCGCGTATTTAAATATCCAAAGGTCGATTTGTAGTTCAAATAGCGATTACCCTGGTCTCGAACCTCCCGGCCACCGCAGGATTCTTTCGCATTTTATATTTGTACCACGCATTCCTTTACCAGTCGACGCCTATCGAATTTCTTTTATCTGGGTTTTTTATAAATCGGTCACGCACAAGTTATAAAATGACGGCGTAAAATAACAAATACGTATATGTAATTCCATACCGAAACTTTATAAACAAATTAATGGTTAAATTTGCATAAATTGAAAACTGCCTTCGATTCCTCCAGCATATTCTGCCTACGCCCCTACAAATGACATCCCCAAAAAATTGAATGGGAACATTTTATATTTTAGTCAGGCTTTATCCTACGGCAAAGTTGTTAAATGAAAATGATTTTAGTTGGAGTGTAATTTTAATTAATTAGGCGCCGTTCACTTACCACGTTCATGACGGTCAGGATGTAGGTCTCGATGTCCTCGTCGGAGTAATAGTCGACCATGGCCTTATCGGCCACCACCAACGTCTCCACGTTCCTCTCCACGCTCACCGATCGCTTGCTTCTCGATCTTCCTTTTTTCTTCCTCTTCTTCTTCTTCTCCCATTCGGCTCGATACTTCAGGGCTCTGGCCACGTCGTCTGTCCGCAAAAACTCCCGGTTAATCGTTTCGTCCGTCGGTTCGACCCCCTCCTAACTCCTTTGTAAAGGCTGCTTTCCGCCTTGGCAGAAAACGCAAACGGAAAAATAAAGAGATTCTATTTACTTCCATTTCCACCGTACCACGATTAAGACCGGTGGTAGCACCCAAGCAAATTTTAATTAGGGGGCCCCGCGTACCGTGCCGACTGTAGACATTTTTCTTCGGGGGAATATTTTCTTATGAAAAAATTTTAAAAATATTTCCCCGAAATATATATAGGAATGGTTGGGATCTTCTTGATGGGGGCCCCGGGAAATTGTCTATTTTGCCCGGAGGATAGCGCGCCAGCGATTAAGACCGACGTCTTCATATTATTTCATATTATATTCATTTTATTATAAAAAGAAAGAATACTTCCAGACTTCTTGTAAAATGAACTCTAATTCTCGCTTCTTTTCGCTCTCTTCGATACGGCCAGACGTAAAACGTCACTACTACGTGGTAACCGTGACGTTTTTCTGTTGGCCGAAGCGTGACGAAAAAAGGAAAACTTCGAACTTCCGGTTGTGTTCTCCGTTTTCGGTATATATTCCGGCGTGGCGGAAACCAGCCTTGAACCGGGTAAACCCGTCCGAATGGACCATCGGCCGCTTACCTCTGTTTCCGCATTTGGCTTCCCTTCCGTGCACTTCCGTCGTCGACCTCTTGTACAAGAGATGAGGACGTCGCCCGCTCTTCTCGCTCCCTCCCGGCATGGGTTGGATCAACAACTCTTCTCCTTCCGTCCTAATGACCCCCATCTGCAATAAACATCGTCCGTCCACGTATTATCGCTTAAACGTAGCCTAACGTTTAAGCGATTGCGTGGCGCGTGCGGAATATTCCCTCTTTCGTAATACAAATACATCGAGAAAACCATTACGTTAAGCTAGAACGGAAGAAAAGGGTACTAACGTTAGTTTCCTTTTCTTTCGTTACGTGACGTTTACCTGCCTTCGTTCGAGTCTCGTGTCGGAGAGTGGTAAAACGTGCCGTTAATTATCGATAGTGATACAAAAATACGGTCTTCCTTCGTCGTACGATCGTCACTATTACTATTAACTTTTTCCCGGATTAGCGTAACAAAACTCGACGGACAGTAATCGAAAAATGTGTTTTATTTAATTCGAATACAGGGAGACTTCAAACGGAAACAATTTCCTTTTGAAATCTCCCAGTATTCAAGTTACGAGTACGGGAAAACAATAGCTCGACGTAAATTAATGTATATTATTTTAATAGTTTTGTTATTCTCTATTCTTCTCCTATTTTATTATTATTATTATTATTGTCTATCCGATCCGAATCCGGTGATTAGCTTTGTTAACCGCACGAAGAAATCGTGTCCTCCTTCCCGTTCGCTACGTAAATCGATAACCGGAGTCGAAATTTAAAGAGGAAGATAATTGGAACGTTAAGGGTTTAAATTACCCTGTATTTTAAATTACAGAGCCCGCCAAGAGAAGACAAATGACGAAATGGCAGCCGTCTTACTTCGGACGAACCGAAATTTCACGTGGCTAAATTTATTCCCGTTACTGTTGCGTTGTTACACGAAATTGTATCGTTTGTTTACAGTTACGTAGGCCCACTGCGGCGTTCCTTCGTCGGAACTCGGTGACAAAATTTCACAAGAGTGCTAATTTCGGTCCCCATTTTAAGTTTAAATTGGATATTTTTATATAAAGAGAACTCGGGATCTTCAACGTCGCGTATCACGTCGAAGATCCGCGCAAGAGCATTATTTCGGCACCGTTTCGTCGGGTGCCATCAAAAGTTGCGCGCGCGCTATCAACTCGTAGAGGTCGAGAACCACCAGACACGCGTATGCAGAGACGGTAAGACTTACACGGAGTGCCCACAACTCGGTCCGTACAAAATAAAGAAGTTGTAAATCCCGACGAGAGGGAGGAAGACGTTGCCGTAGCAACCCGTAAGGTCCCCTTTTCTAAAGTAAATTTCTTCGTTTGCTAGGACGTACGACTGGTGCGGAGGAGGGAATGCGGAAAAATGTCTCCTAGTTTTAACTTCAATCCGCCGAATTTCGTTTATTCTCACGAAATCAATTTTAATCGGAAAACGGCCGTGTAAATTGAAATTTCCCCCGAAGCCAACAAAGACACGTGCAAAACTTGGTCGGTCTGGAAGCCGAACGCCAACGGCGAGATAATTAACCGAATTAACGAGCCGAGCACTTCGATATAACGTTACCACTTACCGAACGGCTGGGTAATTTGCGCGTTTTTACAATGGTTTCTACTAAAAAAAAACGAAATTATTAATTAATTGTTTTGGATTATTTACGAAATGTGGCGCTGCGACGTGGAGTGTAAGCCGACGTTTTTAAAGATGGTCCGAGAAAGAAAAAAATGCCGGGGGAGAATATAAAACCGAACGTGAGTCTGCCACGTGAACTTGAGGTTATAAGGTCTTAGTTGGAAGAAATTAATCTCTCGGAATTAAAAAGGCGAGTCGTGTCATTCGATTCTTATTTTTCGCCAGGAAAAACAAAGTCTGTCGATAAGAATTAAGAAATGCGACCCGACGTGGCACGAGCTGGCCTTAAATACCAACTTTTCCTGCCAAATGCCGTCCGCGCTAACCTTTATTTCCGCTCGGTAATTTTTTTTCCTCTCCGATTTATTAGTGTTATTCCGCAATTACGGGCGTAAAGATGGTTTATTTAAGACGGCAAAAACATAAAAATACGATTGGATAATCGGCCTGTCCGTTCTGAAATTCCTAAACTATAATTCCCGTGTTTACTCTCGCTATACCCCGCTTTAATTCTACCTATCAAATATTAAAACCTACTTTTACCGCTACTGGTAAATCGATTTTGGAAATCTTTTTTCTCCGCTGTCTAGCGAAGTTTGAGGGGGAAGAGGAATTGGAACTGTTAAACGCGCATTAAATTAAGATAAATTCTTTATTTTTTACATTGCGAACGCGTGTATGTGTCCGTTCTACGCTCTAATCGGTATTAATTATTGAATCATTTACGTAGAGTGACGAGGTAACGAAGAGTAAAAGGTGTTTCGCCCTCGTCTCATCGACACACGCTACAAAATCCATCCCCGTATAAGGCGCAGTTATTTCCTACTGACTGGAAATGGGGTGCGTCTTATACGTTGACTAATACGGAAATTACCACGGCGTAAGAAAAGTTATCTCCATTCACCGAGTTATTTAAAATCGATTGGCGCACCGTAAGGGCACCTTTCGGATTTTCACGTCTCGTCATTGGTCGATGCCGATGAAACTAAATCACCTTTTAGAAACGGGAAATTACATAATGTAACTTAATAACGAAGAGAATATCGAATGATGTTCGTTCGGCACGGAAGAAATACGAAAAATATTTAAGAAAATACATTTTTGCCAGAATCCACCCGAAATATTTTGAAAAAACATTCCTTATTTATTTAAAACGCCGAGTCCTTTATCCTTTCCCAGCATCTAGGCGATTACACCAATGCGACAATTTCCATTCGAACGACAGTAACTAAGAAAAAACTACGTAACAATAAAATATATTTTTTAAGTATTAGAATACGGATGCGAGGAAAGGAATTCGATTGGAATTTCTGCATTCGCCATCGTCTTAACGAGGAGAAGAACGTGATCTTTCTGTTAGTAACGCATTGTTACCAACAAAGAACTCGCGTGCACGGAATAAGCGATCACCGGGCGAAAGGGAGATCCTTTCCTTCCACCTCGCGATCGCTTATAACCTACAGAAAACCGGTACAGTTGGAAATTTCAATAAAATGCTTAAAAAAAAAAACAGTTAGAGAGTCGACGTTAGTGACGCTTTCTACGATAAAAGGAACCACACGCCTCTAATTACCTACATTCGAATGTAAACAGTTAAGAAATAAAGATTTGGCCAGAATTTTGGCCAATCGATGGCGCGTGAGACGACGAATACCGAGTCGCACTCCCGCAAAACTCCCGCTGTTCTTTTCCGTATAAAATTGCTCGGCCGGAGAGACAATGACAGTAATTAGCATAGAGACTAATTACTCGATTGGTGTAGAACGGTGGGTAGAGAATTGCTCAACTGGTAAGAGCGTTACGCGTCAACAGGAAATTCTACACGAAAACACGACGCTCGTCTTACCCCCATCCCAGATAAGGCGAATTGTGTATTCAATTTTTGGTGCGTGACCGCTTTAACCGCGCGTTATACGTTACCAGGAAACCAGGCGGTAGTGTCGCAAACAATGGATGTCGTAATTCCGTAATTAAACATTGGTGGCAGCATTAATAACTCAACCGTCCGTGTAATTTAAGAAACGGATTCTCCAACTCGACCTTAGACATTATTTAATTTCACTTTCGAATCGGAGTAGGTAGACAATCGACTAATGCTTTTAACTATAGGACGGGTACGCCAAGCGGTGGGGCCACCCCTGGGCGTACCCATCCCCTCACAGATTTCCATCCCTCGGAGACAAGTCTAGAAAAATGTTATATCCCCACGTCTAAGTGATAAAATTAAATTTAGAATATAAGAACAGTAGTTTGATTATGTTTTGGAGAAGGCCTATGTACTGTACAGCGAATAAACGTAACGTTTTCGTGCTCCCGGGTATTCGTCTACTACGGATTCCACCACATGATCCACAGACGACACGTGTCTTCTCGTTGTCGAACGAGTCTTGCTTTTACGGTCATTTTATTGAAAAAGGACCATTCTACGCTATCGAATTATGTTTTAACTCGTAAATAACGTATAATTTGCACGCCAGAAGGAAGTAATTCGGACTCTTGTTTATTACTTTAAATAAAATAAGAATTTTTCTATTATATTCGAAACAAATATTATAAACTGTGTAGCTACTTCTTACGCCGGTTTCCAGCTAAAAATTAAGGCTACCTTCAAAATGCGACCTTAATTTCTAGCTACGGTTATTTTCTATATTAAAGTTTTTACTCTCCACGTAAGTGTAATCCCGTTTAATTTAAGATTTACTTATTTATCCTTCTTCTCGACGTAGCCCAGAACTGGCTAATTGTGCAGACTTATCACACCTCGTAGGTTAAGTGTTAATCCTTTAAGAACCGATGGTAATTTCTCTTACGAAAAACATAAAAAACAAATACTTTCTGTACTTAATTCTTTTACACATTATGAAGTTTGGGAATCGTTATATCGGGGTCACTACTCCTGCAAAGAGTCTCCACGCAAACGTGTTTAAAGGTAAATGTAAGGAAAAAATACTAAAAAAGAAGGGAGAAAGGATGAAGAAGAGCAAATTAATAACGTAACTTAACTCTTTAATTCAAATCATTATTAATTCTTAATAATTTTAGTAGAAAAGCATTTAATTTTTAAAAGAATAAACAGTCTTTGAAATGTTTCCTGTTATTTTTAAGGCATTCGACCAATGGAACGATCGGAAAAGGGGGCCAATATCGGAAAGGATCGGTGGCATTAACTGAATGTTCCGAGCTCCTCTCAAGGTTAGAGTATTTAATATCGTTCATCCTGTATATAAGATGACTGCGAAATACAAAACCGGTTAAAAAATTTCGTAAAAACACCAGTCATTAAGTCTCTCTCATTAACGAATGAGCTACTTCAAGGAAAAACCCGTCTCCTTTCTTCCTGCCAATAAATAATAGCTTTATACACTCCAATTCCTATAAACGTTGGCACGGTTACCCATTTCTAGACCAGTCTCTGCTTAGCCAAAGATCGTTCCCCCCCTACATTCTTTAAAGGAAAATCACAATTTTCTTTTATTACGTGAAT